TATATATATATATATATATATATATATAAATATATAAATTACCTAATTTCTGCATCTGATCGTTCATAGGGCAGTTCAATAGAAAAGGAGGTGCCCTGGGTGCGCAGCCGTTGCACACACTCAAGCAGCTGAGTTTTTCCTGGCTCGAGAAAGAAGTCTGTCCAGTTGGCTGTGGGGCTGCTGCTGCTGCTGCTGCTGCTGCTGCTGCTGCTGCTGCTGCTGCTGGTGCTGGTGAGGGGTGATGAGGGTCGGGGGACTCCTGCTGCTGCTGCTGCTGCTGCTGCAGCGGCGGCGGCGGCGGCGGCTGCATCCGCAGATGCAGCTTCTACTGCAACTGCAGAGTCTCCTGCTGCTGCTGCTGCTGCTGCTGCTGCTGCTGCTGCTGCGTCCGCAGATGTAGTATCTACTGATACTGCAGCATCTGCTGCTGCTGCTGCTGCTGCTGCTGCTGCTGCTGCAGATAACAATGAAAACGGTTCTTTCCCTGCTACTGCATGCCCCGTCAGCCGACGCAATGTTGCTTTTGAGTGAGCCAACAAAAACCCAGAGGGCCCCTCCTTCTCTATCTGCAGGAGGGGGGCCCCCCCCACTACTGTACACCGTCGGGTGTAGCTGTTTGTGTAGGGGTTCTTCCCCGTGGATGATGAGGCAGCAGCAGGCTGCTGCTGCTGCTGTTGCTGTTGCTGTTGCTGCTGTTGCTGTTGCTGCTGCGGACCCGATGATGCTGCTGATGCTGCTGCTGCTGCTGCTGCTGCTGCTGCAACAGCACCTATACTTGCCTGATAGACAGAAGGACACAGAGAAGCAGCAGCAACAGCAACATCTGTTGCTGGAGCTGCAGATACACCCGAAGATGCATGCAAAAAAGAACAAGACCCTGCTGCACTCAATGGACTCTCTTCATCAATCGGCCCGTTGCTGCTGCTGCTGCTGCTGCTTCTGCTTCTGCTTCTCGTGCAGCTGCACATCAGCTGCGGCGGCACAGCAGCAAGCTCTGTATAAACCCCTTCCTCTTGTTTTCTCTCTTCTGACGAGAGAGACTCATCGCCTCTCCTTGAATCCGATAGAACACCATCAAAGGGGCCCCCCAGGGGGCCCCCCCGGGGGCCCCCCCGGGGGGCCCCCCACTCGCCGTACCCTGCCTCTGTCTCTGTCTTTTCTCTGCTGCTGCTGCCGCCCCCAACCACCAGCCCCTCAGACTCTGAGGGCCCCCCCCCGGGGTCAAGGTCCGACCCCGAGAGTGGGATTTGTTCTGCTGCTGCTGCAGCAGCAGCAGCAACAGCAGCAGGATCAGGGTCAGCAGCAGCAGCTGGATCCGCACTATCAGGTGCAGCAGCCGGGTCTAGCACCCATACAACCGTCGACATACAGTCCGAGAGACCATACACCAGAGCCTCCTGAACTGCTGCGCTGTGTCTTTGTCTGGTTGCATCATCCCAAAGACAAACAAAAAGAGAAGAAGAGCCGCAGCAGCTGCTGACGGAGACTCGATACAAACCCGTTTTCTCATCGCTGCATGCATTGCATCGCACCAATACAACAGGTACTGCTGGTGCTTCTTCTTTCTCTTTATTATCTATCACCTCCTCCTGCTGCTGCTGCTGCTGCTGCTGCTGCTGCTGCTGCTGCTGCTGCTGCTGCTGCGGTTTTGCTGCTGCTGCTTTCCGCTGCTCTTCAGCCAATTCAAACGCTCTTATAAGAGCATCTCTATCCTCTGGATGCACCAAATATTCACATAGGAATTCATTTTCTTTTTTTTTATTATTATATGGGGGGCCCCCAAGGGCCTCCTCTAGGGGGCCCCCAAGGGGCCCCCATTGCTCAGCAGAAGCAACAGGAAACGCCCATAGTATACGACGCCGCGCGTTGCATATCAACACACAGCCATCTGTTAGTGTAGCAACCAGCTGTAAGCATTGAGTTAAACTAAACGCACTCCATGCCCCCTCACCCGAGAGCTCATCATACACCTCGATGGGGGTGGGGGGGGGCCCCCCAGCAGCTGGGTATATATGGGGGCCCGGGGCCCCCTGGTGCTGATGGGGGGCCCCATCGGGTGGGGCCTCGGGGGGCCCCACACCCGATGAACACCCCATCGGATGGGTACTAGCTAGGGGGCCCCTGGGGGCCCCCATGGGGCCCCTGGGGGCCCCCATGGGGCCCCTGGGGGCCCCCATCTCTGACCAACTGTAGAGCCAAAAGAGAAGCGGAAAGAACTGAAATATCGATGGAAGCGGATCGGGCATATACACAGCCAGGCGGCGGATCGCCATCTGTACATATAAACAAATAAAATAAATAAAATAAATAAAATAAATAAAATAAATAAATAAATATATAAATTAATTAATTAATTAAGTTTATATTTATTTAGTTGTGAAAGAGTAAATATGTATGTTCGTTGATCGGCAAATGCATACACGATAAATAGGAAAAAATACATAGATATGTAGGTTGAATACACAAAAATAAATATATAAATAAACAAATACACAAACATAAATAAAAAATAAATAAATAAAGAAGAACAACATATACAGCTATGGTTTTATGTCTATCTGAATTGAGGGTTTAATGAAGCCGGCGCTTCCTGCTGTTTTTTGCGTTTAGGGTTTAGGGTTCATTGTGTTTTAGGGTTTAGGGTTTATTGTGTTTTATGGTTTAGGGTTTATTGTGTTTTAGGGTTTAGGGTTTATTGTGTTTTAGGGTTTAGGGTTTATTGTGTTTTAGGGTTTATTGTGTTTTAGGTTTTTTATCTCACCCTGAACAGCAACAACCCCGCAACAGTTTTGTCTCTTTTGCTGCTGCTAGGACAACAAGAAGAAGCAGAAGAAGAAGAGGAAGAAGCCAGCAGCACTGCGCTGACCAAGGCACCCAACTCTCCA